CTGTCCCTGTGATAGGTAGACTTGGACTCAGTGGAAATAGTGTGAGCAATAACTGAGTAGTTTGGTTTAGACATTTAACAGCATGTCAACTCCTTGTGGGTCATTTAATGCCAAATTTTTATTTTTTTTGTGAGCTTTGGTAAATTTTTTTTTTCCCCAAAGAAATGTATTACAGGTGATATTTTTGTAATTTATTTTTATATTTTCATGTTTTGACCCCAGTTTGGGGGTTCACTATTTGCCCATAGTTGGGACTGTAACAAGTGGTACCATGCTCCTCAAAATCTCTCAATCAGAGGCCTTGCTGCTGGATGTAGTTTATCATCATAACCAGGATGATAACTGAGTAGTACTAAATAAAAACTAGATGAGATATCCTGAAATATTATCAGTGAGATGAGAACAATCTATCACTGTAGATTAAATAAAGAGTTCAGTTTGAAATTACATGAAGGTTACCTGGATCAACAGGCACTTGATGAAGGTCAGAGGGTACAACGAACACAATAACAACAATAATAAAAAACAAAGATGAGGACAATAGTCTGCATGTAAATAAAATTATTTCATTTTTCCCAGAGTGCCAGAATTTTCTGTCATTATCAATATAATTAATTACAATAAGTGAAAGTTTGACGGATATGTTTAATAAATTCAGATAAAGTTAGATAATCAGTTGGTTTCTTATTTAAGGACTTGTTTAATGGTGCCTATCGTAAAAAGGTGTGTCTCAAAGATAAATATGATAGTGTAACGAGTTTCTTCTTCACTGGGGACTCTTTACTCTGGCTTATTGCTAGTATCATCATTAGTCCAATGACTGGGATGGTCATAGGGTTGCTGAACAGTTGAGCACTGTGCTGTCCCCTCCATAAATCTGGGTTGAAAACCAGAAAGGTACTTATTCCTGTGTAGCATGTCTGGGGCAAGTAGATCTAACACAACTCTCAAGGTAAAACTACAGTCAATTTGAAGGAGAAACCTTAGTGATAGACACGTGGCTGTTGAGTCCATCAGGGAATTTCTTGAGAGCTATGGTCATTCAAGAGGTTCCAAATTATGGGAAAAGATCAAGAGGTAGACCAGCAAGAACCTTCATTGATCAACCTATAGATGACCCCTGAATCAGAAAGAAAGAACTGGATACAGCTATGGTTATTCTATGGGGTTCAAAGTATGGGAAAAGATCAAGCGGCAGGCCAGCAAGAACTGTCATTGAACAACTCATATATGACACTTGAATTAAAAAGGAAAAACTGGGTAGACCTATGTTTATTCTATGGGATCCAAGGAATGGGAAAATATCAAAATGTGAGCCAGCAAGAACCTTCATTGATCAACTGATGGATGACACCAGAATCAGAAATAAAGAACATGCTAGAACTATCATTATTCTATGGGATCCAAATTATGGGAAAAGCTCAAGAGTAGGTCAGGAAGAACATTCATTGATCAACTCATAGATGACATGGAAATCAGAAAGGAACTACTGGTTAGAGTTATCATTATTTAATGAGATACAAATTATGAGAAAAGATCTAAAGGTAGGCCATCAAAAACCTTTGTTTATCAACACATGCATGAAACCGGAATCAGAAAGAAAGAACTGGTTAGAGCTATGGTTGTTCAATGGAATCCAAATTATTGGAAAAATCAAAATGTAGGCCAGCAAGAACCTTCATTGACAAACTAATATGTGACACTGGAATCAGAAAGGAAGAACTGTTTAGTGTAAGAACCTCCATTGATCAACTCCTAGATGACACCCAAATCAGAAAACAAGAACTGTGTAGACTTATGGTTATTCTATGTGATCCAAATTATGGGAAAAGATCAAGAGGTAGGCCAGTAAGAACCTTCCTTGATCAACTCATACATGACACCAGATTTAGAAAGGTAGAACTAGTTAGAGGTATGATTATTCAATGGGATTCAAATTATGGGAAAAGATCAAGAAATGGGCCAGCAAGACCCTTTATCGATCAAATCATACATAACGCCTGAATCACAAAGGAATAACTGGTTAGAGCTATAGTTATTCAATGGGATCCAAATTATTGGAAAAGATCAAAACGTAGGCCAGTAAGAGACTTCATTGATCAAATTTTAGATGACACCCGAATCAGTAAGGAAAAACTGTGTAGAACTATGGTTATTCAATAGGATCCAAACTATGTGAAAAGATCAAGAGGTAGGCCATAAAGAACATTCATTGATGAACTCATGCATGAAACTGGAATAACAAAGGAAGAACTGAGTAATTGTTAGTCTATAGGATCCAAATTATTGGAAATGATCAAATGGTAGGCCAATCAAACCTTCATTGATCAACTCAAAGACAATACCAGAATCAGAAAGCAAGAACTGGGTAGAACTATGGTTATTCAATGGGTTCTAAATTATTAGAAAAGATCAAGAGGTAGGCCAGCTAAAACCTTCATTGATCAACTTATGGATGATACCCAAATCTGAAAGGAAGAATTGTGTGGAGATATGGTTGTTCAATAGGATGCAAATTATGGGAAAATATCAAGAGACAGGCCAGCAAGAACCTTCAATGATCAACTCATAGAGGAAACTGGAATCAGAAGGGAAGAAGTGAGTAAAGCTTTAGTTATTCTATGGGATCCAAATTATTGGAAATGATCAAAATGTAGGCCAGTTGAACCTTAACTGATCAACTCATACTTGACACCCGAATCAGAAAGGGAGGACTGTGTGGAGCTATGGTTATTCAATAGGATCCAAATTATGGAAAAAGATTAAGAGTTTGGCCAGCAAGAAACTTCATTGATCAAATAGATGACACTGGAATCAGAAATCAAGAACTGGGTAGAGCTATGGTTATTCAATAGGATACAAATAAATGGAAAAGATAAAAATGTAGGCCAGCAAGAATGTTGATTGATCTACTCATAGATGATACCAGAATAAGAAAGGAAGTGCTGTGTATAGGTATGGTGGACAGAAATGGTTGGAAAGATGTGGTCTGAAGTGTCTGAGGATAAAGAGACAGATAGATCCATGCAAAACTTAAAAGCCCCAGGAAGTAAGATGAATGTTGGCAATGTTTTTTTTACTGATGTAGAAAGAAGTAAGTATTCATACCTTAAAGAAATAAACAACATAGCAGAGGAAGAGACTCATAGTCCCACATACTGCATATGCCAAAACTGTGGCTAACACCAGCACCAGAATTGTTAATAAACGGCAAACGCCCACAAGTAGATTACTTTCAGGAATTCTGCAAATGAATAAAGAAATTATTTATTGATGCTGATCATCCCAGAATATTAAATTACCTAAGTATTGCAATAGAAAAAAAGCAACAACAATAACAATAAAATGAAAACTATTTGAAACTAATACAGAAAATGATCCATCTAAGAAATTCAGATAACTGAAGACTTTTAAATGTGCTATTACTAAGTTTAAGATGTGTGCACAGTGTATTGGTTTCAATTCAGAAAGTGAAATTGACAAGCAAAGTTCAAATTACAGTCTATTTTTTTATCTAATACTTTTCAAAGCAAGCACTGACGCGATGCTCTAATTGTAAGCAGAAGGGTAGAGGGTGACACTTTGATATGAGCCAAAGCACACAGATACAAGACTTTGATCCAAAGAGTACACAGGTAATACACTTGTATGTATGCAAAAAGCAATTATCTCCCTTTGGTCAAGATGGTGACATGATGGCTGCTTAGTGATGTCACTCCATAGAGTGACCAAAGTGGCAGTCAATTTCAGTTGGTTTACAGGAGCCAAACTGAGAGGTTGTTGCCTGGGCTAAAACTAAAACTGTCCCAAAGCAGCTTACAAGTATATGGTGCAGTTTCCTTTTGGAATATATCTTCCCTGGATATTGAAAGATACTTAGTCTTGCAGTCAACAATTTGGGAAAAACCATGACTTGCCATTTCCTCTTTATGGAATATATCCTCACCTGGGGCATAGTAGATGAATTCGGCTTGCTTGAACCTGGAGTTCTAAAAGTGGCTTCTCCAGAAACACAGAAGTATCTCCATAATATATGTAAGACCCTATCTTTTTGTTCTTTCATTCTGCTTGCTGTGGGGATATGATATAATATTCTCTGCATGAGACACATGTAAATATGTATATATAGTTTTGTGTATGTCTTCATGGTATAAAAGTCTCTCTGAGAAAAAAAGTATGTTTGTTATTCCTTTTCCTTTCAGTCATTTCATTCCATCTCTGAAGTACAGTGTTATTATATCATGGATATAATAATGCCATAGTGGGGCAAATACAAATGGGAAAATAAATCTTTCTCCCATAGCTTTGCCCCTGTTATACACTGATCATAAGTAGAGGACTAAGGAGTAACACCTTGATCTGAAGCAGAGAAATACAGAAACTACAATCTGATCCTGTACAGGTCTAGGGAGTGACACTGTGCTGTGAAAGAATGATACAGATACTACACTTTGATATGAGGCAGAGCAATACAGCTATTACACTGATCTTAAGCAGAGGACTAGTAAGTGACACTTTGATCTGAAGCAGAGTGCAGATACTTCACTCTGCAGACAGGAAGGGAGGCTTAACTTACAATCTTTAAAAAAAAAAAAAAATAAATTCAAAAACTTACATTTCAGAGAAAATAGAGCATAGTATACGGTGGATTAAAGTAATGATGGAAGCATGGATGTAGACAATAGCAAATGTGATTGCAGCTAGCATCAACGGAACGGTAGAACCCCAAACACCACGTTCAGCCAGAGCCATTCCATCATAGTGGGGAAAGTATCCATTAAAAAATTTAAAATGGCTGCAAGAAAAAAAAAAAAGAAATTAATAAAAATTTTCATCATTTCAACTTCTTTATCTTTTTGTCCACTTTATGTTGTTTTTTTCTTTTTAATTTGAAAATGATTGATGAAAATTGGGAAAAAAATATAAAAATATCTGGATGTATTTTCAAAAATTTTAAACATTCATCTTTTGAGATATAAAACATAGGTGAACTTTATCTTTCAATTTAACATCTCAAGGTATTAAAATCAGGTTTTTAATTAACTCTAAACATTGGTGAGCAGCCAACTTAACGAGTTTGAATAAATGGATGGCAGAATAAATGAGTATGGTAAAAGGTCAAAGGTTTCTTAGCACAAACAAAAAAACAGGAAATTGTGGACAGCCATGATGTCTCCCCAGCCATTAACATTGAATATAATACTAAAGAAACACAAACTAAATAAAACATAAATAAAAATAAAAATATAAAACCAAAATATTTTGACGTGAAACATTCATAAAAAATTTTTTAAAAGCAAACATGAAATTCACTATTTTTTTTATCCATAATGTTGCATATGTTACAACAGTTTGCCCTCCTTCCAGCTGGGGTGTTCAGGGGTAGTACGCACTGGTCATGACTGTCAATTCTTTCTGATGGGAAGAGATCAGATATTAAATCAATGCTTTATGCCAGGTCTCCAGATATTTTAACAAGGTAGTAATAGAAGAATGAAAAAAAAAAAAAAAAAATATTTTACCGAAGAACTGCTTCTCCTATAGCAACCAGAGGTAGCACCAACACCCAGTTGATTTTCTGTGCCCACATCGTCTCCATTAAGGTATGGCAGTCTGAAAAAGAAAACATTATATACAAATAAAAAATAAGTAGAAATTTATATATAAAAATCAGTGTGTGTCTGTGTATGTTTTGCTTCTTATATATTTCAATTAAACTAAATGTTTTTAATTACTTAATTTAACACATTAGTATTCAACGTGCTTAAACCCACCCTGTAAATATTGGCTCAAAGACTCACTGATTGTGGTCAAATTCTCACTATTTGCATGGCTTACATTATTTGCAATGATGTTATTAGATATCATAGAAGAGTAAACATGAGGCAGGTTATGATGTGTTGAAGATTGAGAGCTGATATTTGGGCAAGTTGAATGCTAGCAGTTTAACCTAGTCTGGCACAAGGCTAGAAGATTTGCAGGAACTACACCCACCAAGCAGTATGAAGAGATGCTAAGAGGTTCTTGGACTGATGCACTTCCAAAGTCTGATCAAAAGTCAAACCTGTATATGGAAGGACTTCTTGGGCCAAAAAGTTTTCAGCACCTCCTTCCTATATAATTAGGATCCGATTTAGGCATTAATGATACTGCCAATGTCTTACAATCAGTCGGCTCAAATTATATGCGGCACAGACTGCCTCCATTTATCTTGAAGTGTATCTTGTTATTGGATCAAGACTGCCTGATACAGAGAGATCACAGAGTTATACAAGCTATGAATGACTATAAAATTATTGCACACGTACCATCAGGCTTCTGGATATTAGGGGACAACACCTCATCTGTCATAATCTATTTGATAGTTGTGCTTGTGCAGTGAATGAGTAAGCAGTATATATATTATATTATATATGCATAAAAGGTGTTCCAATAACTTGGACTGAATTTTAATGTGAATTAAGTTTAAGCGTCTAATATTTTTTTTCTTTTTCATTCAGATTTAACAAGTCTTTGGCAATTTCAACCCTGGAAAGATTAACAATCAAACAACGTGTGAAAGTTTCAAGAGCGCAGTTGGAAAAATTGTTTGTAAATTCAAACAAACTGGGTTGGTGGCAGATGTGAAAACACCATTGCATGCTCGTTTACACTGTTCAGCTGAAAACATTGCTGCAGAGCATGAGAATGTATTCCGAAAATCCAGACACCTTTATTCATCATTGCATGCAGGAATTGAAACTCTTCACAACAATGTTATATCATTTCCAATTGCAGGATCGGTTAGTTGATCATGTTCACCAAAAAAAAAAAAAAAATCATGAAGTGCGCGAAATGCATATCTGTTTGAGCATCCATTTTCGTAATAGGCTTTGATAACTTTAACATGTTGTTTGATTATTAATCTTTTCATGGGTGAAATTGCCAAAGACTTAAGTTGTTAAATCTGAAAGAAAAAGAAAAAAGTTATTAGATGCTTTCTAAAATTAAACTTGAATTAAAATTAAATTAAAATTGGTCCAAGTTATTAGAACACCATATATATATATATATATATATATAAAGTATCACACAGTGAGTAGTGGTGGTGGTGGTAATAAAGCTATTTGTGTATAATGACACTAAAATTCATATTAATAATCAATATACATTTTGTTTTTCACTGGTAGAACAACTCAAGAGCTGTAGTACTGGTCGGGAACTAATTGTATTATTATTAGTGTGTGTGTGTATATATATATATATATATATATATATATGTGTGTGTGTGTGTGTGTGTGTGTGTGTGTGTAGTATTGGTACATGTCGATACCTACGTTTTTTTTTGTGTGACTATAGTTTTTGCTGGGTGGTCTTCCCAGTTAGACATTGTGCCTGATGAACTGGGAACACCACCCAGTGAAACTATAGTCATATGCCAAAAACGTAGGTATGTGTATATGTACTAATTAATATATATCTTTGCTCTGTATAACCGCATTGAGCATTAGTATGTTTACACCCCATGTATAAATTTAACGATTATTTATTTGCTTGCCTGCATATGCACACCAGCAAACATGTACATTCTGGGGACAAGATTTTTATTGCTGGTAATTATTTTTTTTCAAAAGTGTACTGCTGGTAATTTTTTTTTTTTTTTAATGTATTGCTGGTAATAATTTTTCTTCAATAATTTTTTGGAAAGTATTTCTGGTATTAAAACCTATTTTTACACTTTCATAGTGTTTTGACCTCAGTTTGGGGGTTAACTATTTACCCAAACCTGGGACTCTAACAGGTGCTACCACCCTGGATCATGGTGAACCTGGGAAAACCAGCAATTAAGAGGTGGTTCTATGATCATCAAAACTTCCTGATAATATACCTTGATGTCGGATGTAGTCTATCGTCTTACCCAGGACGTGGATGTAGTTTATCGTCGTACCCAGGATGGGACTCAACATGGAGACCTACATCAAGTGACTTGAGAAGATAGTGCTACCCTGGGTTAAGAGGGTGGCTACTGGAAGACACTAATTCTGGCAACAGGACTTTGCACCATGCCACACAAGCAGAAAAACCCAGTCATGACAATTCTGTGACCACATAACTCCTTACATCTGGCCACCTGCAACTCCTTTGATCATTATGTGTGGGGTGCAGTTGACCAACAAAACTCCTTGTAATACCAAAGATGAACTGAAGACAAGGATTATGGTAGCATTCACCAACTTAAACAAGGAAACCGTCCAGAAGAATTGCAGGAGATTCCGAAGTTGTCTGGAGGCCGTAATTGAAGCCAATGGTAATAATTTCAGTTAACAGTATGAAAATAGCGTTATCTAAATTCTTCCAGTTGCTAAGGACATTTTGTTTTGTTATTATTAGTTACTTCGTTTAATAAATTAATTTCGTTTTGCCTTGAGAAAGTCCACATTGGATGAAACGCGTTGGCAACTATTACAGTTTTCCTATTATCTTTTACATTTATAAATATTGTCTTTTTCTACAGGTTAACTCTGAGAAATCTTTCATATATATATATATATATATATATATATATGATGGATATTCCAGTTAATTTCAATGTATGTGCATCTGACAACCTCATTCAGTTTTTATGTTTGTGCTGTATGTGATACTTCAGTCCCGCTAGTGACTTGCATACAAATCCACATACTGTGCAACAGCGGGGATCTTGGGACATTTCAACTGGAATATTTGTTGATGCTTCTTACCATTGTTTTTCATCTCTTAGCTATTCAACACAAAGGTTTTCAAAATTTCTGATTCCACTTTGGCACAGATATCTCCAGTTATTTCTATCTAGAGTAAAATTCGCTCAGTGTTAGTATGAGGCAAATTGACAGCTCAGAAGTTACTCTTTACCTTGTTGTTAGACCTGAGCTATGGCTGTCCAACACTCCTTTGTCCACTGTCAAGCTGGCTATACATGTGGACTTTAGGTATTCTGTTATCACTCAACCTTGAAACATGACGAGCCCAATGAAGTTGTGATTGTATCAGGAAAGTCTCAATTCCACCAGAGAAAATCAGCATTGGACACCCTATCATCAAAAGTATAGCCAAATATTGAGTGAAGACGTTTGTGGCAGACAGACATCTGATTGATATGGACCTATATATATATATATATATATATATATATATATATATATATAGGTTTACAGAGCTGCCATTTTGATCACATTGTCATATAGATCAAAATCGTGGACACCATAAATATATAAAGCAGTTTAAATTTTAAAATGTTATCATATTCTAAGTGTTAAACAATTAATGCATCTTACTTTTTAATCGGAAATATTTTTATTACTTGAAACGTTATTTTTAGTGTATACCCGTATTTGAGAAGATACCATATTTTTTTTTTTTAAACTCTGTTCATCTCATCTAGTGGCTTGTGCACTCAAGAAAACCTAATAAAGAAAATGTGCCCTCCAGTAGGATTTGAACCTGCATCTCTCTTTGCAGGGGGAACCACTGTCTGATCTGATGAGCTTTGACCGCTTGGATACTGAGAGCTTCACAGTCAAGCAAGGTTCTATTTGCCTTAAATCTGAATATGCTTTAAGGCAAGGAGAAACTTACACCACCCACACATTCAACCTAACAGCACTTGATATTCCTAAGCAGTGATCCATCCAGGTACTAACCACACCTGACATTAATGTTGGTGATCAGACGTGAACTGGTGTTTAACGTGATATAGTCACTGCCAGATTTACCTATAGGCTGAAGCCTAGTGTGTCAAAATTTAAGAGGCCTCTAACCAGGGTGTATAATATTTTTGACACTGTCATAGGCCTTTCTTACACATGCTGTCATAATGCATTGTAGACTCCAAGCAACCCTACAGTAATTTTAAACATCAATCATTATCCTTGGCTTTACTCAAATTGTTTAATTTAGCGCTCTTTCATTTTCCTCTACTCATGAAGTGGGGCTCACTAGTGGAATAGCCTAGTCTCTCTCTTTATCTAAATCCGGCCCTGGATATGGTTATAAGTCCTGACAAATCCTGGAACTGAATGTGTAATACTAGATATTTTCATAGCACTTGTTCTGATGAGCTTTCCACTTTGGTATCTTGACTTTATGCATACAGTACTAGACTGACAGCTAGGTCCTAAAAAGGAAATCTTGTTAGAACAATTGCCATGAAAATATTTATAGAAAAGGTACAGGGAAGTTACATTATGACAGTGGGAAAGTGATTGAAGCCAAGATACCAGGTCAGGACTGATAACATTGCAGATTCTTCTTTGGATTTTGTCAAGAATTTTTAGATACATAGCAGAAGCACCAGACCAGATGTGGCAACAATGATGAGTGGGAGATTTATAAATGCGCCAAGATAGATTCATGTGAGAAATAATGTCTAGCTGTTATATGGGAATAAAGTGTCGCTGCTGACACTTGAGTTTGAACATAGATTGCCAGTGAGCAAACACAGGTGATCCCATTATTGAATTAAGTGGATCATGTGACCATAGAGGAAATGCATATATAGGAAGCTATATAACGTCTAGATTGAATGCTTTTTCTATTCCATCCTCTATTACTATCTGGATTGCATTTCTATTCTATCCTCTATACTATACAGATTGCTATTTCTCCTCTATCACTAAAAGGACCATCATTGTCTACTCTATTCACTACACTATTTCTCTATTCAGATCACTATACACGTTACTTTCCAGCAAGTATTATTAGTGTGAGTGATTTTCGAAGGCATCTGACACCAGTATTATTCAATGGTATTACTATAGTTGTATCAGCGATTACAGAGTCTCTACTACAATGAGCATTACAAACGTGGCAATGAGTATTCATTGATATCACAAAAGTGGCAACGAGTGTTCGTTGACTTCACAAAACTAGCACAACACAGTGAACCAATTTTCTTAGCAGCAGACCTAGCAATTGATTTGATATCAGTTAGTCAGTTATGTTTTCCATGCATGATACACGTTTAGGCGATCATATGTCATTCATTGCATGAATGACAAGGCATATTTTTTTCCCGCATAGGTTGCCATTTCTTTCTGCGGTAGACCAACTACCATCCAAGGATACAGAACCCGGTCTATCCTGCAGTTTGTCCATAGCTGGTGGGGGGAAAGAAGAAGAGGAGGATTCATACCTTTCCCAAGGGTATTAGGACATAAGTGAATGTAATGGATTCGACTGGGATTCAAACTTGGCTCCCTGATTCCTCAATCTGAGCCGCTATCTATTACTCCACTGTGCCTCCTTCCATTATTCCACCGTGTTTCCTTCCATTACTCCACTGTGTGTCCTTAATTCTTATCAGTGGAAAATGTTAAACTAAAATGGCCTGGAGGTTAGCATTGATTGAAAGTTGCAAATAAAAGCCAAATATAATATTTTAATCTAATTCTGCATACAAATTAAAGTACGATTTGTTAGGCTTCAGTATGTCATTATAAACTAAAATAAACCTTACTATAATACTCTTCATGATGTGAAAAGCTAATTCATGTACACTTCTGTGATTGTCCTACACTGTTCCAAGTACAACTGTTTTCTGGGAGGCTTGAAGTCCTACAAAATCATGCAAAAATCAGAAATGTTTTTAACATACCTGTACGCTTCCTCATTAACTGGAGAATCATAGCTAGCATCAATTGACTCACACAAAAGGCTGGAATTAACCATCCATAAAACCGAACAAACTGTAAGTGGGAGAAAAAAAAAATAAAAGTCTTTTAATAATTACTGCCACAAAAGAAAAACAGTTGCTAAAATAAAAAAAATTGTTGTTATTGACTGAGGAGATTAAAAGAATTTTAAAACGTAGTATTTGTTGCTTTACCATGTTTTGGCAACTTTGGAGTATCCTAGTGGGTGGGTCAAAAGTTGTTGCTCAAATCTCTAAAATCTTATTCTTAATTTTTTTTTTATTACTTTTTTTTCACTCTTATTTTTTTTTAATCACAACACTCAGATCATTTTTATATTTTACAAATATTAACCAGTACAGATTGGAAATGAATAAGTAGCATCCAACAAGATCTGAATTATTGAATTCTGTATCCTTGGAAGCCTGTTTAATATAAACAGCACTTTATCGATTAGGCTACAAAAACTTAGTAGACAAAATTCAAATATCCTCAGATAGGTATACTTCTCATTAACCAATTTTCTCCATGCCATATTCCTTGTTTACTTAGTAATAGTACTAATTACTAACGCTAAATTTAATGTCCAGAATGCTTATTTAAAATTTTTTAAAGAAAGCTTATTTTGATTAAATTAACTTCTTGTTTTCAAATTCCCAAATCCAAATCTACTTTTATTTCTCAAATATATCTGTTTCGTCACCCTGGGGCACCTATTTTAAATTTCTTAGAGAAAGTGGGGCACTAATTCAAGGGGTGGTGCTAAATCAAGCATTTTCAGGAGTTATTCTTTCTTCTCTTATTATTTTTATATTTATTGCAACTTACAAACTGATTTTATATTCTTACCAGTTACTAAGTAGAAAAATGACCTGTACATTGACTTCATCTGAGAAAGGTTGATAACATGCACAATTACTTTATGGTAATGGTAATATTAGCTGTCTCCCTACAAGGAAATATTTGGCATTCATTGACTGAGCAGTTGAAATTTATAAAATCTGTATCTTAAAACACATTTTAAGGATAAGGAAAACAGATCTCTCAAGTTCAGTAGCTTTTATTGCTCTTTACACTATTGATGGGTGTTTCCTTCCTAACTTTTTATTTGATGTTAAGTGGAACATCAACATCTTGATTATGTCATTATTTTCTCCTTGAGTTACATGTGCTATCCATTTTAGTTGTTGCTGCTGTTGGCAGTCCTGGTAGTTTATCGGCAAATCCCAAATTTCAAATAGTTCCATCTAGTCAGTACAGAATAAATTCATGGTATTTTTTAATACATATGCTTTAGTTTTTACATGCTTATTATGGAATGAGACATTACAAGTTATTTCACAAAGAAAAAAAAAAGTGAAGAAAGGAAATCTCTCAACAGGAACTGAAATCATGATTTTGGAAGTCCTTTTTAATAAAGGCTTTCCAATTTCCTTCCATGTGATTTCACTGATTATTGAAATATCACTATCAGTGTCCTGTAGCATTTTCACACCCACATTATTTATTTTCGCATTCACAAATTTCCTTTTGTTTTCTGTGATGATTTTTTCTGTTACAGTGCTGTGCACAATTTCTTCTTGTGAGAATTTTTTCTTGGTTTGGTTTTTGCAGTGTGACTTTTTAGGTCCTTGTTTACCACACTTGTAACATTCTGTATTTTTAAATGGACAGTCATTTCCAAGATGCAATTTACCACATCTGAAACAATGATTTATCCTCCATTTTGTCCATTTGTCTTTTGCTTGTACCAATGCACATTCTTTTTTTCTGAATTTCTTCAGCATAGTGTTTCAGACTTAAAATTGTCTGGTAATCACCCATTATTTCTTGCAGTGTAATATTAATGTTTTGCTCAATTTCCATTAAAATGTTTGCTTGGATTCCAGAATCTTTTTTAGATGTTAAACCATGAACCAAAATTAACCCTTTGAGTCATTTCCTTTATTCTAAACTTTTCACATTCTTTGTTGATGATAATAGAATATGTGACAAAATCTTTTTCATCTTTTTTGGTTAGATTCATGCATCTCCAACGAGCTTTAAACAAAGAGCTCTTGTCACTAAAGATTTTTGTCAGAATGTGTACTGTGTCTTGAAACCAGATTTCACTTGTTTTTTTTTTTTGGTAATATGTAGTTGCAGTATTTTTCGTACTCTATCGAAGCTATTTTCCTTAACAACAACCTTGTTTTTCTTTCATCTCTCCAGTCACTGAATTCCTGACTGAATATTTATTCATATCTATGAAAATACACAGAATTATTATTATCCCAACTAGGCAGTTTCGTGGTGTAGGTCCACTTTTCAAGGATTTTTTTTTTTTATTTGCATTTTTTCCACTTTGTTAGTGACGTGTGTATGTTAATGTTGAAAAGTGGACTTACACCCTGAAACTGCATAGTCAGGATAATAATAATCAAATATGGATAAATTAATTTACAGTAAGTAAATTTTTTTAATTTTAAAAAGATTACTGTATTTGACGGCATATAAGATGCATCCCTCTTTCAGCAGGGCAAATCAAGAAAAAAATTAGTAAAATTATTAGTAAATGGTACAGCTTAAGCTATATTTACGAGGTATTATTTTGGTTAAACAAGCCATGATTACAATTAAATGAAAAATAATAGGAAAAAAGAACAATTCTTTTTTAAAAAAAAAGTGCGCCTTATATGCCATCAAATATGGTAGTTGTTTATTTTTGATACCATGATACCATTTTTGTATTTGAAATTGATGTCCTGTTTTCTTTTATTTATTAAATAGTGTATATTACATCTATTGGCCTGTGCAGTTCAAGAAATCTTAGTAAAGATAATATGTTGCCCAGGGACAAAAATTGTGTCCCTCTTTATAGGGAAACCACCATTTAATCCAGTGTGCTTTACTGTTCCGCCACAAAGAAGGAAGGTCACAGCAAGCAAGGTTCTATTTTCCCTTTTTAAATAAAGCACGTCATCTTCACTCAGATTATTTTCTCAAAAGCTTCATATCTGCTCTGTTTTGTATTCAAAATGTAAACAAAGCAATTTCTAAAGAATTAATGGATTTATTTTTAATCTGAAATTTTTATTACATCAAACATTATTATAGTGGATACTTTGTATCTCATGGTTCAAAAAAAAAAAAAAAAAAAGAAAAGGGGGCATCTATTTCAAATATGAAATATCCAACATAATGTCTGACTGGGCAACGCCATCTCATATATATATATATATATATATATATATATATATATATATATATATATGAGAGTGTGCTGTCCAAAAAGGCCTTAACTTCATGAAAAAAAAAAGAGCAAAATACAAAAATAAAAAATTGTTTGGACAGATTTTGAAAAGTGGTTTAGTCCAAGAACACTTCAGCACCTCCTGATGTGTATGTGTGTGTGTTAGTACAAAACCACAAATCACCATGACCAAGGCTTTGTTCAAATTATGTGTTCTCTCTCAGAAACTGTAACTAAGGTCTGCTCAGCATAGCTGCAGTTTAAATCAGAAGCTGGTTTTGTGGGTGTTGAAAATCACAAATGTGCCTTAGTGGCGTTCTGCCACAGGTTGGCTAATCACTAGCAGATAGGTGTCCTTGAGAAATGAATACACAACCATTATATAACACCCTTGAGTGCTTAGCCTTGGAGTGGGTAGAATGGAGATTAACGTGTTTTAGTGGACTCAGCAGTTTTCAATCTGCTTGTCTGAATCATCTTCAAGAAGCGAGAGCAAGAACTAAAAGGTCAGCCAATCTAACAGTGATTTCATCTCACAATCCTCACTCTTGCTCCATATGTGGCCTCCTTTGTAAATCACTAACGGGTCTTAAATGCCACTTAAGATTATTGCACAAAATTTCATAACTGAATCAACTAAGCTGTCAGATCCTCATACGTCGAAACTGACGGGGAGAGTCCATTATTATTATTATTATATGATGGATATTGACGTAATGGAATAACCTGTCAACCCCGTGAGTGACTACACTATAGGTAGTAACTACCTATAAGTATCTGTAGGTCAACAGACTACAGAGACTAGCTGGGATCTGTTGAGTACAACTCAGGCTTACGTGAGAACTATTGACCTTCCAATAGTAGCACTCACTACTAGATTGATTTGTGACAATCGTGCTCATAACTGTTACCTTATTTCTTATTGTACTGGTTTTTACAATAAACCTTTACTTATTTTATCCACCATGTTTTTCAAGTATATATTCCTATTAGTACGGAATATAACAGTTATGTATTCATATATATATATATATATATATATATATATATGTATGTATGTATGTATGTATGTTAGTTTGTTACACATGAAATAATGCATTTTTTGGTTGGTTGTTGATTAGGTTGTCTAACGAAGTAACCTTAGTATATATAAAAAAAAATCATGACTTATTTCAGATAATTTTTCTTTAAATTATATTGTTACTCATAATCCAATGAAAATGATTACAATGAAACAATGTTGAGTGTATGTGTACAAACTGGGTCATTCTGCCTCTGAAGCATTTTGGAATATCAAGACAGCCTTTGGTAATGGTGTTGATGAATCAGAACTGTACAGAGATAGTTTCAGAAGTTTTGTTCGGGAGATTATAGTCTTCAAAATAAATCAAAGGGAAGACCATGATCAATTATCTGACATGATTAATTGAATGCGTTGGTTGATCAAAATCGGAGAATTACAGTCCAAAAACTTGTATCAGAACTCAAAATATCTCACACAATTGTTTCTCAGCAATTGGAAAAGTAAAGAAACTGGATAGGTTTGTTCCACATGAACTGAAAGAAAAAAAAAAAAAAAAAAAAAAAACGTTGCTCTGAAGTCTGCTCTCTGTTGCTTTCACAACTGCAAAAAAGAACCATTTTTGCATCAAATCATTATATGCAATGAGAAATGGATACTCTTTGACAACAGTAAGAAAGTAGGTCAGTGGTTAGATGTAAGTGAATCACCAAAATAATACTGAAA